CTATAAGAATATATTTGTATTTTTAACTATATAACTTATACTTAGGTAGTAGAGTAATATAGTTAACTAATATATTAGACTATACCTAGAATAGAACTAGTAGTAGTTTTAAGAAGCTCTAGAGTAAAAGTCTAGATGTCTTTATTCTTACGTATATAGTATAGGCTTATATATAAGTCTTAATATTATAAAAGATTTATAGCTACTAGTAGTTATAGTAGATAAGGTCTATAGTTTTAACCTATCTAGAGTAGCTAGTAGAGCTAGTATTATAGATATAGTATAAGATCTACGTACGTAGTTTATTATTTAGTAGTATAAATATATAATCTCTATACTAAATATAGTTTTATTAGACTTAATAATTAAGTATAGAGACCTAGAGAAGTCTTTAAAGGTATTTTAGCTAGCGCTTTACTAATAGATTCTCTAGCGTAGTAATTATTTTCTATGCTAGGTCTAATATCTTATATATAGTCTATAATAGGTTATTAATTAGTTTATCTATAGCTAGTAGAATAAGTACTACTACGTCTAGTAGAGTATCTTAAAGAAGCTCTATAAGAACCTTCTTATTAAATCTTTCTAGTAGTAGTATTATCTATATCTAGTTTTTAACGCGGTTATTAGTAAGATTATTCTTTGTAGGTTAGTTGCCTAGCATATAACTTAACGCGTCTAGTCTAACTACTTTACTCTCTAGGTAATATATAATACGAAAGTTAAATTATAAGAGAAATTTAGACTAGCAGACCTGTCTCTAGAAGAGTATCTTTATTATAGTAAAGTATTTAAGATTCTTATAATCTATAATAATCTTAAATAGTTTAGTAGTTTCTTATAACTTAAGGCGCTACTTCTCTAAGAACTTTATAATAGCGAGAAGTTCTTTATTATAGATCTTATAGTTATACTTAGTAGTACTATACTTGCTTAAGAAGTACGCGATAGAGTAGAGTACGCTAGTGTTATTATACTATAAGAGTACGCCCTCTAACGCCTAGTTAGAGGCGTCTATTTTAAGAATTATCTTTTTTATGTAGTTGTATATTGCTAGTACTAGAGCTATTATAAATAATATCTTTAGAGTCTTAAAGGCTTACGTATACTTATCTGTCTAGATCTATAGCGTGTCTTTACGTAGTAGCTTGTTTAGCAGTTAATATATCTTAGAGAAGTCTTAAATAAAACGTTAATAAAAGTTAGAGAAGCTAAGAAACTTCTATAGGTCTTTTAGGTGTAGAGGCGTTATCTATATATAAATAGTCTAGACCTTCTCTAGATCTATACAGATCCCCCCTAGAGAGATAATAAGACTAAGGTATTTTATTTTAGTAACCTTAAATTTATACTTCTTAATATTAATTTAAAGGCCTATATTAATAAGCTGTTAGACTACGTCTTAGACGTGTTAATAGTGTTTCTTTTTATTCGCAGAGTAGATAAGAATATTGTTAAGGTACGCGGTACACGTGCGGTTTAGAAGATTATAAAGCGTATAGTTAATATAGTTCTAGAATAAGGCTAGCGTATTATAGAGGCTAAATAGTATAACTAGTAATTTAAAAAGTCTAAATTAGGTAATAAAGGCTATTTTCTATTTATAGCCTTCTATAATTCTTAGCTTATTAAACGCGGCGATAATATTAAGCTTAGTGTATACCTTAGCATTGTATAGAGTATTAAGCGTTTCTCTAATTAGTAGAAGTAGGTATTAGTTCTTTATAGTTATGTTATTAAGACCTTAGTAGTCTTAATAGATACGCACCTCTCTATCTAGTTTTACTACTAGAAGTAGAGGTATAGTATAACGTAAATAGAATTTACGTATAAAGCTCTTATTTAGGTTATTATCTAGCTATTTTCTAACAACTTTTAATTTCTTAGTAGAGAAGAGCCTATTCTTCTAATATAGTAGCTTCTTTTCTAGAATAATATTAATCTTATAGTTCTAAGCTCTTATTAGTAGTAGCTTGTTAGCTTTCTAGAGAAGAAATTCTACTAGCTTATTCTATAGCTATTCTAGCAGCCTTATTCTAAGTTCTAACTTAGAAAGAAGCTTCTTATCTTCTAGAAATTTATTAATATCTATTTACTTAAGGCTATAGAGGTAAACAGCCTATTAGTAATTATCTAAAAAATTATAGAATTAGCTAGAGAATTTATTATATAATTAGTTACTAATATGTTCTAATAGAATATTAAAATACTTAGCTTTAGTAAGATTAGAAAGTATATTACCTTTCTCTTACTTACTTTCTTAGGCTACCTTGTCTAGGTTATTCTATGTAACCTAAATAGCCTAAATAGCTAGCTACTTACAGAATTAGACAAAATTTACAGTCTTAGAGAGATAAATATCTTCTATTTAAAGTACTTTGCATAGTCTATATATTAGTTCTAGAACTAGAATACTAAGCTATAGTTATAGTTCTTTTCTAATCTATACTATAGAGAGCTAGATACCTTCTACTTTTTAGACTAGTATTTTCTTTATAGAGCACGTATTTCTAATTATTATACTATAGTATTTAGGTATTCTATCTTTGTCTACTCTAGAATTGTAGGTATAATAGTGTAGGTAGCCTAGCGTAAGCTTAGGTAGAATTTCTAGTAGTTAGTTTCTTTTATTTATATTCTTTTTCTATATATCTTTAGGTATATCTTTATACAATAGCGTAATATAGTTTAACCTAGAAGCGCTATTAGTTTTTATAGAAAGATCTTGCGTAATTAGTAGTAACTACTTAGTTTATTTTTAACTTAGTAGAAAGAGTAGTTTTTTGCCTAGAATAGAGACGCGGTTCTCTGTAGCTAGCGGGGAATCTAGAGATATAAGCGTAATTTAAGGTAAAGGCTATATAAAGTAGGCGGTAAAGGTCTTACTAGGCGCTTAGTATTATAGTACTATAGGTACTAGTCTACTATTAGAACTATAGTACGCTATATAGTACTAGAAGATAAAAGTTATAAATATAGAGGTCTAATTAATAGCTAGATTATATTACTATAACTATAGAAGGCTAAGAATAATTAGTATATTAGTAGCTAGCTTTATAATATAGAGTATATAATACTTATAGTAGTTACTAATAGATATAGGTATAATATAGTAGTATATAAGTATATTACTTATATATCTATCTATAAGTAGTAAGAGCCTAGAGAATAGTATAGTATATAGTAGAATATTATATTACTAAACTAGAGAGTAGTTAATAAAGCTATAGCC